CCAAAATAAATAGGACGAATATTGATTTCCCAGTGATTAGTAATAGTTACACAGGCATCCGGGTACTCGGAAATTTGCAATAATTTGGGCGCTTCCGAAAATCGTATTTTCGGAGACCTGGGATTACAATCGACGGCCTAATCTGCATTTGAAATTTGAAAATCACTTTTAAGGCTTTTACAGAGTGGGGATTAGCCGTCACAACGTCATCCGCATATGTACACTAGAGCATTTTTATATGCGCATCTGATGCATGTAATTGTAAAGCGCTATCATGTAAACTGAGCAACTAATCGTTATTCAAAGTTTTGAAATTGCGTCTAGGCCTTTGACAGAAAGCAAATTGCTTATCACAACGTTATTAACACTTGCACACAGTACGTTTGATTTTGACGCACTCGATGCAAAACATTTGAAAAGGTTATCGTTAAAATTGAGCTATTACTCGCTTCTTAAATCTTAATAATGCGAATATCTTTTTATTATTCACTTTTGCTTATCAACAAAGTTATTTCCATGTTTTTTAACTGGTTAAAGAATCTTAGTATCCTAATTGAATATAATTTTCTTGTCATTTAATAGGAACGTTATATTTACTAAATCTTTTTATGCGTTTAAAAACCGAGAAAGACCGTATAATGTCCAAATTTTAATCGGAACTCAGTCATAATGTTCTTTCCAAATATTCTAGGTTACTCTCAACGTATTTTTAGACAAAACTAATGCGCAAATGAGGTTCTCCAACAAAACCATATAAAAAGATAAAGACTAGTAATCCTTAACGTGTCCTTTTTGATTAAATTACGTGAAATATTTGGAAATGTCCTGAGCTATATTTTGGTTTTATCAAACGGCTAATGTCAGCATTCATCCAGCCAATGAAATAGTTCCGGTCCAACAATCCGGTACCGAGAATTACTATCACGTAATGGAGCTCACGTGACCCAAAAGAAGATTCAAACCAAAATTAAATCCAGACCAACTAAGAAAACAAAGCTATATGTCATAAAACCAACAAGACAAAGTTATAAACTACTTTAGTTTATAAAGCAATTACGTATATATGAAATAACAACCATACTAGATAGTATGAATATCCCCATCATATTTTAAATAGAACGGTATCTTTTATCTCATACTTTATTTTGTACCTGTATTTTAAAGAGTACTTCTTCTGGCCAATAAGAATAGGCTCACGTGATTATCACGTGCTTTATTTTGCTGTCCGGATTAGATTGACATAGGAGGTTTATATTAACCAATATGTTTCTTTGGTTGAGTGGCGAAACTTTGGATTAACGTAGACTGTGTCAGTGGGTCGAACTCTGGCTTTTTGTTGTTTTTTCACTTTTTTAGTTTTGTTGGACGTTGATTTGCCATTTTTTTTTGTGTGTGAATCAGTTTTATATTAGTGATTTAGTAATCGTATATTTAATTGTTTCGAGTTAGATAGGATGAATATTATTAATGCTTTATATTACAGTTCTTCAGGGAGTACCAGGCTGTTCTGTATAAGTATTTAACAGATAATATGGTAAAGAACTAGTAAAAAGAAATAAGAAATTAAAATTTGAAATGAAGTTACAGAGAAAAGAAAAGAGACTGGGCCTCGACTTTTTAGCGAGACAGACAGATAATAAGCGAATTCATATGAATGATATAAGATTTGATACGCAGGATGTAATAAGAGTTTATGGGAATAATGTGGATAGAAAGCTGAATTGTTTATTTAGGAATAACGACTTGATGTGGCTACATAGTTCTTGTTTTATTTAATAAACGGTAACGATACCCTGGAACAAATAGATAAGTATAACTAATGATATAACTACTAACCAACTTTAAATAGCAAAAGAGAAAATTGTAAGATTTTGCAACGCAATAATAAAAATTAGCTTAACAGGAAGTAAACTTCGTTGAGTGTAAATTTTTATGTTCGAAATCAAAAATGTTGCTGTTAGAAATCAGCATTGTAACCGTAGTTTAGAGTTGTTAGTTAAACGTAGTTAAATAGAATATTCAAAATACCCAGAAAGCTTATATATTACATTCTGAAAGGATCCCTGCATGAGTTTATACGAATATTTTTAACTACATATGTTACCTTGCCATATAATAGAACTACTTCAACAAAGTTCACACAGCAATCTAGTCAAGAGTGTGGCCAGTGTAAAGCCTACACTGAACATAGAAAATGATTAAAAATATATAACGCAGTGTAAAGACCGTATTATTAGAATATTAGCTTAAATCAGGATGTCATTGGTGATTTTAGTGTGTGTATACACTAATTTATTATGATAATGGCAATTGAAACGTTACTGTGCTTCCACTCTCAATTTACCGAATGCTTGAAAAGTCCGCCCACTTTTTTGAAAAAAATTGGCCAATTGTGTGAAGTTAAATTGCCCAGAAAAAAAAATTATTTTGCCCGAATGTTTGAACTTAATTTGCCCACCTTTTCGAAAATAATTTGCCCACTTCTTAGAAATAACATGGCCAAAGTAATGGTTAAATTTTTATAACAATTCTTTGTTTAAACATTTGGGAAAAGTATTGATAGAATGCTGGATAAAATTTTGAATGTGTTCGATGGGAACATCGTGGCAGCCTTCAATTACTCTAGTAGTAAGAGTCTCTAAACTGCTAAGTTTACCACGTTTAACCTTATCTTTTAACACTTTCCAAAACATCTCAATAGGATTTAGCTCAGGTGAATAAGGAGGTAAGTATACGGGTACATAACCTCTTTCTTCAATCAAAGGGTCAACAAGGCTATGACTATGAATTGGGGCATTGTCCATAACAATGTGAAATCCTTTCATATTTGGAAATTCGTCCATGATATCCAAGGTGTCGCTTATAAACTGAAGGTAATGACCAGCAGTTGTACCTTTAGGGATTGCTGATGCTGCATCACCAGGTACCTTACGCTTAGTGGCTCCTACCACTTTTCTTCTTTTTACGTTACCTGGATCCCTGATACTCAGATTTACAACCCCAAATGCTGATACCGCGCCGATTACGGTATGCGAAACCCCTCTCGCAGAGGGTGACTCAATAACGGCCTCAGTTCCTCGTTGTGACCAAGCTCTTGAACGGCGCATGTTTATGTCGAAACCCGATTCATCAAGGAAGACACAATTTTTCATAAAATCCATCCCTTTAGCAGGCCATTCCTCAACAAATTTAGCACGAGCCTCCAATGTTTTGTTGCTATTTCTGGCTACAGGGTGACGGGTGACTACTTTGATACTGAGGTTGCAATCCTCTTTCATAAACTCTGCAACTCTACTTTTCTTTATTTGCAGACCTTCAAAGCTTTTGGTCAGATTTTCCACCGCATCTTGGATGACAGCTGATGGGTTTTCGTCAAAAAAGTCCGTAAGGTAAGCTTTGTGTTGTTCATTTAGCTTGCTTTCGGGTCTGTTTGACGTGCGATTGGTTTTTTTAAAGGGAATGTTCTTATCTGGATCTTGATCGTAAGCACGTTTCCACTTTCTTGCAGTCTCATAGTTGACGTTAGCGGACTTTGGAAGCTTCAGACGGTTTCATGAGCTTTTCCTGAATGAAATAGAAATAACGCAATCGATCTTCATCTGTGTAATAGTTGTAAACAGTTGGTCTTTCTACCCTTTTTGCTGCTTCTGACATGTCAATATCCTTAGGTTCTTCATTATCTGTGGTTACTTTTTTATTTTTAATGTAGTTCTTGAGATTCACCAATTTTGTCATGCGAAATGAGTGTTCTACAACAAAATTTGATACTTCTTCTCCAGATGCATTTACAATTCTACCTCTACCATCTTCTTGAAAGAAATTCGTTTTGAATAATTTTATAAAAGTTCACTGAGCTGGTAAAAATATTTGTAAGAAGTGGGCAAATTATTTTCGAAAAGGTGGGCAAATTAAGTTCAAACATTCGGGCAAAATAATTTTTTTTCTGGGCAATTTAACTTCACACAATTGGCCAATTTTTTTCAAAAAAGTGGGCGGACTTTTCAAACATTCGGTAAATTGAGAGTGGAAACACAGTACCTTTCAAAAAAAGACAAAAACAATAATAGTAACGTAGTTTTTAAGAGGGTTTTTTTTTTTAAAAAAAAAAGTAAAAAGTTGGAAGTAGTTTAACAAAAAGCTAAGACATAAATCCGTTGGAAAAAAAGGACAGAAATAAAAATTAGGTTTCAAGTTTGTAAACATGTCTTGAAAATTTTGCATCGTAGCTATGCCTGCTTATTTTTCTTACCATTCGTAATAATTATGGGACAAGAGAATAAAATGACACCTTTGATAGCTTAATTGCTTTTTATGAGCAAAAAATAGACAGGAATTATCCGCCTAGTTCAATAGTTTATTATTGCTTTTTTGTGGGATTATTAGTGATCACAATAGTATCAAACATTGTCGATTATGATCGTATAACATAATTCGACCACGGTAAAAATGGCTAAATACCACATCATCCTATGCGCAATTGATGTAACACTGTTTTTTTACAAAGATTTTTAATTGCGGGATATTCTGTTGAGCTTAATTGGTACGTATAATCGGTTTTACTAAAAGATGTTTTAAGCAGGCAAAGCTGCCAAAGTGTTTTAAGTCAGTTATACACGTATTGTCGAATAACAAAAACTTCAATAGTACCTATTAAATTATATATAAACGCAAGGGAACACAAGGAAAAAGCACATTTACATATAAAGAAGTTAAATTTTATTTTCAAATTTTATTTTCTAGATGGTCTTGTGTTATGGCGTGTTCTTGGGATTGATGATTCTGCTGAACATGGCGGTCTAATTTCTAGACAAGGTCGACCAACTGGTCTTGGTGCTGGTGCAACTGGTGCAATAGGCGTAGGATCGCTAGCTACTACCCGAGTGCGTGATCCGGTGGGACGACCAGGGCCAGCGCCACTTCTTACCCTGACCCGTTTATTTGGCCCAGCTGGTCTTCCAACAGGACGACGGGAAGCTGGGCGGCCACGAGAAGAGTAGCGACTACGGGAAAAAACCAGATGAGGCTGAAGAGGTTTCAGCCTGGGAGGAAGCGACTGTTGCTCTAGTTGCTCTTCTTGTACCACTTGCTGCAGTTACGCTTCTACGCTGATTGTCTTGGCTTGCTTCTGGATTGGCTTCGGCTTGTTGAACAGGAAGATCATCTGCACCAGATTCGTTCCACTCACCCATGTCATTGTCTTTGTTACCACTCCAGTCAGAATCTTTACTGCCTTCGGAAGCATTGCTATTGGACGAGTGACCTTCGTCATCACTGCCGGATGAGCTAGCATCATTTTCAGCTCCATTCGGATTGCGTCGAATCCAGGCGACACGACGAGATTCCAAGCGGGCTTCATGCTGACGTTGGCGCTCTGGACAGAGTCCATTTTCCCCTCTTGTAAACAATTGCGGTACGTTAAGCTCTGCAATTGGACCTACTGTACCAGAAGTGTATACTACCTCCTTCAACGCACGATTCAATCCTTCCAAAACGCTTGGATTTTCTTTTTTCCACAGATACTCCAAAAGTTTCTCCGCACAATACTGCTCATTTCGGTAGCAAAAAGCAACCAACCGTTTCAAATCAACCCACATGCTTTCGATAACATTGGTATGGATATACCCAGGCGTATGGTTACCCTAACCTGATCCTTGGTACCAAAACTTTTTGAGTGATTAACAACTTGGTGTTGTCTGAAGTAATAATCACCATCTTCGTACCGGCCTTCGTTATTTTCGTAGGTTCCATCCTCCAAAAGAACATCAGGGGGATGCATAAAGTCATATCCCTTCCAACCATCTGAACGGATGACGGTATTTGGTTCGCAGTGACGTTCGATTATAGGTTTCAAGGTGGCCGTAGTACGGTTGGGCACGGTGCACACAAAAATCGGCCAGCACGAAACAAAGGCTTCTTGTAAAACGGCCGTTGGTCTTGGACACCTCCTCACCGACTTTAATGGCTTCCACCATACCGAACACCCAGACACCCTCAACGCGATGTCCTCGGTGGTGCTTACGTTTACCAAACTTTGATTCGTCGATCTGGATATGATCGCAATCAGGTGAAGAGCCTAGACGAAAGGGCATGTTTCTGTTGACGTAATCACAGAGCATAAGAGTATTGACGTCCTTGGTTAATTTTCCAACGGCAGGGAGAGATATCGTGTATCTACCATGAACTTTTGTGATTGAAGAGTTTTCCACGTATTGATTGAGACTGCGGTAAGACAAATCGATTCTAAGTTTTCTGCGATAAAAAAAGGTGTTCTTGGCAGCTGATTGATAACGTTTCTTGTGCGTATCGCTACTACCGTTGCAATGATAATAATATCTTCCACGATTCTCCCTCCACTTACGATACATGTCCTTTTGGCAACCCGCAACATTACACTTGAGATCAACCAATTGAAAAACACCGAGTTCCTCACCAACATATCTAAAAAACTACGAAGTTAGAATAAATCCCTTTTGTAACGGATTTTATTGACCTACCTTTCTGTATCCTCAGGTCTTCCTGATAAATGGTCTAATTCAGTTGCAATTACGTTAACGGGTACTCTGGAACGGTATGGGGCAACAACTTGACCGATCTGACGACCTCTGGGACGAGCAGGAGTAATTGCGTTATCTTCGACATGATCTCGAACAAGAATTGCTGAACTCATTTTGAAATTACTAACAACGGAAGTAAGGTGCAATTGGTTATTGAAATTGGGTGGGAATATGTCAAAATTATTACGAATGGAGAACGATTGAAAAAAAAGGAGAATAAGAATTAGTTAGGACACACAGCGCTAATGTTAATTCAAATAAAAAAGAAACTTACATGAAGAAAGGAAGGAAGAGCAAATAAATATAATTGAAAACTTTTTTTATTTCCACAAGCCCCCAACAACTGCAAAGTCACTTGTAACAGCCTAACAAATAGGTTCCTAATGTAAACAAAAAATTCTTAACCTGGACTCAAACTGCGGACCTTCACGTTCTTTAACATTCGATTTACACATTCGGCTATAGTTCAACGATTTGTTTGTTATAAAAATACACCTAATACACGTCCCCGATTTAGTATGTTTTTTATGTTACCACAGTGTTTTCGAGATTTTGACGGTTGAAATTAAACTTTTAGGCTAATCGAAACCAGTAAATGCTACGACTATTACTTCAGTTTATACAAAAGATCGTTTCTAATTTTTTTTTATCGGGTAGTCTATACCGAAACCCATAAAATAATAATTTACTTCCGGCTAGACTATATTACTTCAATGCCTAAAAATGTGAAATTAATTTTCTACAAATTTAAGGCACTGTATATATGACATTTCTACGATTAGGGCAACTCCAAATTAGACCAGTTACCAAAGTACGCTTGTTGTAAATCTTGGATATTTGATTAGTAAACAAATTCGGACGGTAGCGATTTGGAATTAACTTTATCAGCTGCGCCTAAATAAGGGCAATAGGGTACAGGTGCGGATGACTTGGTAATGAGTGATCGCGGCTCTGCAATCGTTATAAGACCAAACTTAAAACTTTGAACAGCGATTAGTTGTTCAGTTTAAATAATAGAAATTTAAAAGTACGTGCATCAGATGCGCACAAAACAATGCTATTGTTTACATATGCGGATGACTTTGTGACGGCTAATACCCATTCTCTTAAGCCTTAAAAACAATTTTAAAATTTCAAAAGCAGATAGTCCGTCACTTTTAATCCCAGCTATCCGAAAATACGATTTTCGGAAGCGCCCAAATTTTTGCAAATTTCCGAGTACCCGGATACATGTGTAACTATTACTAATCACCGGGAAATCGAAATTCGTCCTATCTTTTTTGTTCGCCGTTGGCACAACCAATTGAAGACTACTTATCTTGACAGAAAAAGAAACCGTAGAGTTGATCGACTGGTGTCTGTTTTGGTGAAGAATGTTCTGCTCGAGTATGCTAACAACATCAGTCGTATCTTCTCGAAAGTTGGAAGAATGGGTCCTGAAGAAAGACGACACCGCAAAAAAGAGATGCAGGCAGAGGCCATCAGTTCTGATGCTTGGAACATATGATCGAAACTGCAACCACTGGTTCTGATGGTAGAAGTGTTTATGTTGTTTCTTCTTTCTCGACTCCTGGTGTAAGTGATGATGTTGTGGTGGAAGATCTACAAATGATCACTTGCAGTTGCCCTGACTTCCACTTTAACAATATCACATGCAAACACATGTATTTGTTGAAGCGTGATATGTCCATGTTCTCTGTATTTGAAGGTAAACATAAATACTATTGAAATCTTTACGGCTTCATGTTTTTACTAACCTTTCATTAAATATTTTCTTTCGACCCCACTTTTTCAACCATTCCCCAGGACTCTGTCGATGATTCAAGCCTTCCTACTTCGACAGAACAAGCTTCTCCCATCACTCCAAGTAATTCCTCAACATATTTTGACACTCTGCTTTCTAGCATTCATAAACTTAAACGCCAACAATATACTTTGACCGAAACTGAGCTCGAAGAATTAAACAGCTTCAATCAATTGTTTCTCTCTCGTATCCACTCTTCGAACATTCCTCCCAATTCTAATTTTACTACACAAAGATAACAACAAATTTTTTTTAATAATAAACGCGTGTCCCCCTCCCTCTGCCTAAAAATCAAAAGCAAAGCAGTCCTCTACTTTTAAAAACCGCTCAAACATTCGGGTATATAAGTAAATCGATTCAAAAGCTCAAAAAGAGTGACGTTTCATATTGGAGAGATCGTGTACTGAGCGTGTATTTGAAAAGTGCCGGGAAAGGAAAAAAAGATACAAATTTGGGAAAAAGGGTTTTGCATATAAGCAGTATCAACAAGAGCCATTCTTTGGTTGTGTGCTCCAGTATTTGCTTAAACAATAAAGTTTTGGCATTAAAATAGTTTTCTGAATTCTGCAAACAAACAAAGTGTTTCGTATGGATTAGTTAAAAAGGTTCCCAAATTAAATAAATTATGAACAATTTGTAATTGAATTTGGCATAGTTTTCTAATGCAACGAATCGAAGATAATAAGGTAAAAAAAAAACATAGTATGTGTGAAGTGATTAAAGCTAAAAAACATTAACTGTTAAAGTAAAAAATCTTTAAAATACGATACGAAATTAAGAAAAAATATAAACAAGACATATAAGTAATACGAATTTTTATTGAAGGTAAATTTTTTTTTTTTTGAAGAACTAAGAAAGATTGTTTAAGGAAGCATTTAATAAAGGATTGCATAATCTTGTTCGCTGCAGATATCAGCGTATGATCGTCTTAAACGATCATGATCCATATCTACAACAGGTTTTTCAAATTTTTTTATACGTCCTGTTGGTGTATGATGGAACTCGACGACGTAGAAATGAGACGACGAGTAAAGGAGCGTAATTGGTTTATCAACATTTTGAAGCGGCATGTTGATCAAAGGAAAAAAAACTTGTGCCTCACGATTCTCTCTAAATTCTCCAGTTTCTTTCAACGGATATTTGACATAGGAAAAGAGGATTACCGGACGTTCGAATGTATCGGCTACAACCTGTGGACAGCTGAACGTACTAAACCACAATATCTGATCCTCTTGGTTGAAACATGGTGATTTAGTAGAGTTCAACCGTTTGACCATCTTAATTCTTTCCAATTCGATTACCTTTTCATCAACTGGCTTATACAAGGTATCACGGTATTTGGGGTAGATTTCAAGCATGTGATGTTTAGCCTTTATCCATTTACTTTGGTCGTTAAATACCTCTAATGCTACAGCCCTAAAGCCACAATTTCCATCAGCCCCGACGTCATGAATTGCAGCAATAAAATTTTTAGGTTGGATATGAATCCAATTAAATGCTACATCCTTTTTGGCATTAAGGTAAGAAGTGACTCTAACAATCGTTTACATGTAAGTTTGTATATAACGTTTTTTATCTGCATTTCTCGTACCGATCATAATGCGATGTTTCTTTTTCAATTTTCACATCACTTTTGGCATAGTTTGGGTCTTGAGAATCAAAAAGGGTCAACTTTCTTTTCTTTTGTTCAAGAGCTACCTCTCTTTCTTCGAGAAACAATTTTTTCTTTTTCTTTCAAATTCTTCCTCTTCCTTTTCTTTTTTCTCCTTTTTTTTTATCTCCTTCAGCTGGTGATCGTCGAATAGCTCCTTCGCAATCTTTAGTCTCTGGATGCTACTTTTGATACCACGCTTCAACCTGCGTCTCTTTCTGTTTGTATATACAGATGGGGGTTGCGGCTCGTCCATTTTAATTACTGGCTCTTTGATATCCAAATCGGCCTTTTCCAATACTTTAATAGCATCACCTACTTCTTGTTGCGTTCCCAAAGAGTGATTTTGGTAAACATACCATGCAAAAGCTTCTCAACACGGAGAATCATCCTTTCTCTGTTTTTCTCTGGTCCCTCTTCTGTACGTTCTATAACATTAAAATATTGAGCGTTCCTATTTTTTTTTACTCGTGGAATAATTAATATATAAAAATAATAGGAATTAGGAATTGTAAAAAACAGTCACAGAGTTACGATTTTTTTGAGGGGGTTCGGGGGTTTCCCCCGCAAGAGGGGTGGGGGGTTTGGGGGGAGGGGTTCCCCCTCCCCCCAAGAATATGGCCAATATTATTTAGCATTAAATTGTTACCTTCTGAAAAACAATATTCCTTTTTTTTTTACAGCGCTGTGTTTTTAAAGCATGATTTTTTTTATGGCGTAATATTTCTGAGCCGAGATACAATAGAGGATGGGAAAACCACTCCTCCCAAGAATACGACCCATAGTATTAATCATTAGACTAAAAAAAAAGATCATATATAAAAACTGATTGTTTGGAGAAAGTCATAATATAAAAAGTGACCTTTACGGAAAAAATCATTGCAAATAAAATTGTTACTATGGGGTTTTCGGGGTGGAGGTTACCCTCCGGCCCAGTATAACAACCAATAGTATTAAGCATTATATTATCGAGTTTAGAGAAACAGTCTATGAACACTTTTTCACAAACAATATGTCATTATTCGAGAACAACTGGAAAATTAATTGTTTTAGGTCGATGAAGGGGTCGCCTTTAAAATTAATATTTTGGATTATCAAGTCTTTCATTATGAAACAAAAACACTGCGCATAGAATAGCTTATTAGATAAATAAACAATTGATACTTTTTGCGTAGATCAACTTTCCTGCCTGGGTCTAGGGATATCGTCTTTTTCCAGATATTTATACATATATTGAGAAACATCAAAGTTTTCTCCAGTATCAAACTAATAATAGGCAGTGTAGCTTAAGTTATAATGGTGCATGGGCTTCATGGTTAATTAATATATGTTAAGTTTGTTATTTCAAAAACAGGCCTGCGGCAGCACGAGGCTTTTTCAAAGCGCAGCGTACCGAACCATAATGCAGGTCAAAAATTTACCGCAGCGCAGCGAAGGTCAAAATGTTTACTGAAACGGAGGTTTGGTTCGAAAAAGCCTCGTTTCATTTAAAACTACCTTTGGATGGCAAAGGTGTGTCATTATTAGCTGGCATACTTTTTACATCCTCATTGCAACACTCTTCTTCACTTGTTTCATCCTTATCAACTTTTGTTTTATAAAAATTATGAATTTGTGATTGCCATCTCTTTATTTCTGAACAAATTACCTTCCTGAAC